ATGTTGGCCAGCTGGGCCTGGGAGAGGATGTGGTGGAGAGGAAGAGACCAGCCCTGGTGACGCTGCCGGAGATGGTGGTGCAGGCGGAAGCCGGGGGGATGCACACGGTGTGCCTGAGCCAGACAGGAAAGGTGAGTGTGGGGGCTGAGCCGCGCTCCCTGCGCTGTGTTCTTACCTCAGCCCTAGGGATGAACGTGGGCTCCGCGCTGTGCACCACAGCGTGGGGGGGTCCCTGTCCCCGGCTGCACCCCCGGGAGCTGTCCTGACCGGCTCACACCTTTGGGTGCAACGACGAGGGCGCCCTCGGGCGCGACACCTCGGCGGAAGGGTCCGAGACTACGCCGGGGCTGGTGGGGCTGCAGGAAAAGGGGGTGCAGGTGTCCGCGGGGGACAGCCACACAGCCGCGCTGACAGAGGATGGCAGGGTTTTTGTCTGGGGCTCTTTCCGGGTATGTTGATTCCTCACACGCCGGAAGCTCCGCTCGTGGTCGCTGCTTCTGTGACTTATGTCCCTGCGCCTGTGTCTCCACCCAGGATAACAATGGGGTGATCGGCTTGTTGGAGCCCATGAAGACCAGCTCCATCCCTGTGCTGCTCCAGCTCAGCGCGCCCGTCGTTAAAATTGTCTCAGGTGAGCAAGGGCCTGGGGTGTGCATGGGTCAGGCTGGTGCACGAGGCTGTTCCAGCCCTTGGGAGAAGGTGAAGATCCAAAAGCTCCATGTCTTTTTCCTCGCTCTTGGCTGTTTGTCTTCTCTGGCTCTTGAGAGAACGGACCTTGTGTCTCCTCCACCCCTGAGGGTGGTGTTAATATTTGACCCAATGTGGTGTAAAGTGCCTTACAGGAGTGCCCTAACTCCTGACCCTGCAGGGTCAAAGCACTCATCCTCGTCTCTTTCCAGGGAATGACCACCTAGTGATGCTGACGGTGGATGGTGACCTCTTCACGTGTGGCTGTGGCGAGCAGGGCCAGCTGGGGAGAGTGCCAGAGCTCTTTGCCAACCGAGGAGGAAGGAGAGGTCTACGTGAGTTACTTCGGTGCTTGGTGGCACCCAGTGCTGCATCCTTTGGTCCTAGCTCTGCACTTTGCAGAGGAGCAAAGAGCCCCAGTTTCTTCTCCTTAAGGGAAACCTTCTCACTCGAGGGCTTGTGTGTAAATTGAATTCAGTGAACTGGATCTAAGTGGGAGGAAAAGGGTGTCAACCATTAGTCCTCCTGTGACACTGTGTCCTCTGCCCCCAGAGCGGTTGCTGGTCCCCCAGCGCGTCCCTGTCAGAGGCAAAGGCAACAGAGGCAAGTTGTGCTTCCAGGATGCCTTTTGTGGGGCTTACTTCACTTTTGCCATCACACAGGAGGGACACGTCTATGGATTCGGCCTCTCCAACTACCATCAGCTTGGTGAGCTTTGCTTCCACCCCTCCAGATCTGCCTACTTTGGTCTGGATGTGGTCTTCCCAGTCCTTGCTGCCCTGGTCTGGTGGGGGGACGTTGCTGGGTGTCGCGGGTCCTGGACACCAAGCACCCATTGGACACACCAGAGCTGGAAATTGGGGTTGGGGGCTCACCCTGCAGAGCTCTGGGTTTAGGTCCCAGTCCCTGCAGCCAGTGTGGTTGAGCAGAGATTGATTTGGGGACTGTGTTAGTCTCTGGTGGGGTGAGCCCCAGGGTGGATGGCTCAGTGCTGGTGCCTGGCCTGGGCTGACCCTGCCTGTGGATCTGATGTGCTGGCTTCGTGTCCCCCACCCCGCAGGCACCCAGGGCACCGAGCCCTGCTTCTCCCCGCAGAACCTGACGTGCTTCAAGAACTCCACCAAGTCCTGGGTCGGGTTCTCTGGAGGGCAGCACCACACAGTGTGTGTCGACTCCGAGGGTGAGTGCTGGCAGGCTGGGGGGAACTCCCATGGCCCTCGTCCCAGCTGAGGAGGAGTTGGGGTGGGAGTGATGTGCTGGAGCCCTCCCAAGTCCTGTGTTGAAGGCAATGACAGTGGAGTGACTGTGCAGCAAAGGGCAGGGTGAAGGAAACCTGGAGGTGCTTGTGAACTCTGCTCTCACAGGCTCAATAGTGTGTCCAGGCGTTTGTTCACCCTCTTGATTCTGGAGGGCTCAGGGGTTTCTATCCCACCCTGTGCCTCCAGGTTGGGATCTGGGCGGTGGCTGGGAGCAGTGATGCTCCTCCATGACTCGGGCTGAGGGGCTGTGTCCCCCCTGCGTGCTTCTTCCTCACCTCTCCTGTGTGTGTGTTGTGCTCCAGGTAAAGCCTACAGCCTGGGCAGGGCAGAGTACGGCCGCCTGGGCCTGGGGGCTGGGGCAGA